CTACGCTCACATTTCTGAATGTCAAATTTTGAATGGAATATAATCTCTATAAAAAAAAACGAACTGACTCACCGCTCCCCAATCGATAGCACCAACAAGCGCCTGGACGTAGTAGAACAGGCTGTGATCGTCTGCACCCATTTCTATCGTCAACATTCTCAATTCCGCTCATATTTGGACCGCGGAGGAACAGTCGCAACGAGGTTTCTTCGGGATGCTGAAGGGAAAAATAGTTGGTATGAAAAAAAACGGGAAGAGCAGTTCATAAGCTTACAACCTACACGAAAAAACGAAAGGAAAACTCCATAAACTCACAATGACTGGCTTTGTCTGCGTTGGATCAGGAACCACAGCGGGGAGTTCCACATCCTGAGTCTGATTCACATTCGTGCGACCAGGTCTGGGATCGAAGGCAGGAATCAGCGCCTGAAACTAAACAACTCAAACTTAAAGGCACATTTGGCGTTTCCAAAATGTAGGTGGTAGGGTGCGATTGGACGTTTGTCGGTGCTATTTAACTTTTCTGTCAAGAAAAGAGCAGAAGGAATTATTGGTAAGTACTGAGGTGAAGCCTGCTTGGTTTTCAGTGCTGGACGACAGGACAGGAGGGAGCCGTAAGGGGCGGCCTGACTGCCTAGGAGTGCACTGGCCGTGACGCACAACTCACGTGAACTGCGCCCTCATAAAAAGGAGTAAAGCACGCAAATACACTTAGCCGAGAGGGGCAAGAGACATACAGCTACTCACAAAGGGGCGAGAAAATCCAAAGCAAAGCCAGACCGCACCACCAAGCGTTTTTCTTTCGTTTCAGGTCAAATCATCAGTTCTCTTAAACATAGGGGGTAGCGCTTGGTCACAGAGAAGGGGGTTGTATTTTGTAATAAGACAAATTTTTCGGCTGTCGACTTCTCCCGCAACATACGTGTTATGTACCCCCCCCACCCTTTGAGGCGGCCGCGAAGCCAAAACTTCTACTTCTTATAGCTGATCAGAGAGCTTCCCCTCCCGCCTCTCGAAGGCAACTCTTTTGAGGAAAAAGTTGGGGTCATTATTAGTGGTTTGCGGGGGGACGTTTGTAGCACGGGGAAAACTGCAGTAGAGTGTCGTGTTCAGCCAAATGCACTCAGCTATGGCTTGCTTCATTTCGAGCGGAGGTGAGGAGGAGTTGCACCGGAATGGGCGGAGTTCGTCTAGAAAGGCGTGGCCCGACTCATATTACAAGCCCCTGGCGACCTCACCATGGAATTCCAAAAGCCGATATGGTAGACCCTGTGCGGCTGCAGATCTGCTCATCGTAAGCGCAAAGAAATTCCAGCGCAGCTCTGCTTGCTTGAGGAAGGGGGGGGGAGGGCACTCTTAACTCCCGCTATTTCACATCGTCAGATCGAGCCATCAAGAAGAGATCCGCGAAATCTTGTGAAGCCTTGCATTGATACCAGCTAAAGATTGTGTAGACCACCTGTCAACCTTTGTAAAGAATACATGTCGATTCTCGTAAAAGAATGAACAAGTGGATGGGAAGTAGCGGAAGTGCCCACCCCCCCCCCCCCCCCCTCCATCCCTTCCCTTCAAACCAACTGCGCTGGGAATTCATCTACCAAGTAATCGCGGAATATATCCGAAAACGCGAGCTGTAATAGCTTACCTGGAACGAACACTTCAACACCAATTCGTCGTCCCATGAGCGGAAATTATTCTTATTACCACCACGCTGATCGCGATTTCTCGAATCCAAGCCACCACTCATCAGCTGAGAGAACTGTTAGATGAAAAGCATAAGAAAAACATTGATGTCCGTCGTCTCAAAAATTACTTCATGAAAAATTTGATTTGAAACTCACCTGTTTCCAATTCAATTTGAATCCTTCACCTCCTCGACCCGTGAGCACTGTTGCTAGTGAGTCAACGGGAACTCCGAGCGCATTCAAGTCATCCTCAATGTCCTCTTCATTACCTTCCTCGTCGTCATAATAGTCATCCTTTACAAAACTATGTGAATACATGAAATAAAATGAAAAAACGTACGTTATTGTTTTGGGCTCTAGCAATATGCGACACCGTCTATAAAATCAATGAAAAATATCATCAGTCTGGCCATCAGAACCAGGTATGTCCGATAACCAAACAATGGAATCGGATCGATGCCGCGACGATCAAGCTCAATAGCCTAATTACTCTGACCTACTCAACATTTTCCTAACATCAAAGTCCCGTAAAGTTTCTTCACGTATTTCTTAGAGTACGTTCATACTCTGCGGCAGCGTTTCGAGCGCCCATGAGCGTTCCGAGAATCTGCCTGCTTTTTTTGCCAGGTCTTCCAGGAAAGTACAGCTATCCATCCCGTTTTGAGGGTTGCCCAGAGTTTTGAGTGACAGCTTTCTGAGTTTCCACTAGCGCCTTCAGCGGTAATCAATATCTATACATTCTTAGTCGCTTGAAACGCTAAAAACGCTGGTGGACGCTCAAGACGCTAATAGACGCTCTAAACGCTGACGCAGAGTATGAACGCGCTCTTAGCTCTCCAGGGAACTTAGGCAAAACGAATGCCTACAACGCGTTATCGGTAACCACTACTCGCTGGGGCCAAAAGAACACCTCGGGACTGCCTAATAAAAAAGATCCTTTGAAACCATTTGAGGGAATCCGGCAGTAAAACCGCCCTCACACCGAAACGGCCCAAAAGTTTCAAAACAAAACACTTCAGAAATCCAAAGAGAAACCCAAAAATTTCTGTAAAATTACATTTTTCCTTTGATTATTTCGGTTCCTAACACTTTCAGCGAACCTGGACCTGCTTCGCTGGTATGGAGGAGCTTTCCTTACGAGACCCCCCTCCCCTAGGAGTATTGAGACCTTGCCCGTGTGGCGAATCGGCGACAGAGGAACGTTTACGGATGGGTCGTGGAAAACGTACGATTCCAAAGAATGCGCGATTTAGGATAGGCGACAAAAAGCTAATTGTCAATTGACAGACGGCGCCCATAAATTTTTGAGGAATGCGCGGTTAATGGTATGTCCAACGAATTTCTCCGAATCACGCATTTTAATGGACCGAGGATTCGCCAAATCGATACGTATACATAATTTTTTTTGCCAATACGTATACATAATTTTTGCCAATTTTCCAAAATTGCGGATTCTCGCTCATTTGCAGGGTGCGAACACAGCTCAAGAATATGTAGAGCAGTTAAGGAAACGGGCAATTGTTGCTTTTCCGGCTGAATTTTCCTCAAACATTTTCCGCAACCGATCAAAAGACTGAAACTTGAGCATTTTGGGACAAAACTGCCCATTGACAGCAGGCGTTGGCGCTTACTCTCGATGAAGTTAATCATATCATTGGCACCTAGACGCATAGGATAGAACCTAGCTTCCCTAGCCAAAGCACTTGCGGCGGTGAGGTAAACTGGCTATTCGGCACGACACCGTCTCCTTTTCCATCACAGCCTCACATGCGATCATTACCAGTCCAGGGCTCAATTTCACCTTCCTCTTACCACACCTTACCTTCCAGGTGAAATAGCCGTCCTGGAAAGGCTCCCCATTGGAACGACTATTTCCTAAAATTTCCCGATCCTTAATATCATTGCGGACCCCTCTTAGCACAAGAAATGCTACCGCGACACAAATAAGACCCACTATGGAGGATCTTTGAACCACAGCAGGCCGCGTTTGTGAAACATAACAGGCGGTGTGACAACAAGATGGGCTGCAATTCTACTACGACTGGGTGCAACTTAGCCTTCTAACGCTCAGCTTAGCTCTGACCGACTCAAAAACCCTTTTTCAAAAAATATTTCGGAATTAGACAAAAATCCCGCTGTGAGAAGGCAGATCATATTTTTCAGAATATGATCTATTTACCTCATCGAGTAGTTCTTCAACTTCTAGCGAATTACCACTTGGATCCATCATCTGAAAATGCTGGTAATGAGCAAAGATGGTGCATTTGAAGTAGTTCACAAATTAAAAATTACCCACCGTTTGCATAATGCCTTTAAGAACATCTGCATAATTTCCCAATTTCTGCTTGAGTGTAGTCTTGTCTTTCTTGATGTTCTTTTGCGAGGCAGATGTCGAGGTAGATGGAGCTGTTACCTCGCCAGGTTCCGTATTTGACGACGACGTGATGAGGTGTTCTAGCGAATCTTCTAAGAACACATGGGAATCCCAGTATCCTTCTGAAAAACACTTCCATCAACGTACCTGTGCCAAACACCTCCCGAAGCTTCTCAAACAAACTTCGTTCGGAAGACGTTTGAAGCGCATCGACCATCATATCAGCAAAATTGACTTTCTCATTACTGAAAGGAATGCCAGTAAAATACCACCCAATCACAAGCGATATGGGTGGGAACTGACCTTTCTTCTTCCTCCTCATCTTCTCCTTCTTGCTCTTCATCTTCTTCAACTGTTTTGTCCATTTCGAATGTATCACTAGACTGTTGTCGTTGACGGGCTGCAGCGAGATCGGGTGCAGAGACGGACAGGCTGAAAAATACAATTTAAAAATCTTCCCTGCATCAACTGGGTACTTCCTGTCACAAGGGGAAGTTTTTGAAAAGGCCCTCCTCCCAAATCCCCTCGAAAAGGACCTACTCCCCGTCTTCTTCCTATCATTCTGGGTTCTCTCACTTCTCACCACTTTCCAAGATCTTCCCAAATAAGCTGCCGTAGAGCGGGGAAGGGGAAGGGGGAAGTCGCACCAAACAACCACTGACTTCAAAAGGAGAATACTAGCTGCATGGACTTTGACTGCGTCTCCAACTGGGTGGGAGAGGGGGCGAAAAGTTAACCGGAAAAAAATTTCCTCGCAGGAGGAAATTCTTCTGAGGTCACAGACGCCCCTCCCTACGAGCAAATACGAATTCTCCTATGGGAGTCAGCGATAGTCTGGTGTTCATAGTTCGCGATCGCGCGATAGTGACCGGGCGCTCCACCGTCAGAAAGTGCTCTGCCGCAACGGCAGAATTCAAGTGTGCTTTGTGTGAACGCGGCCCAGTTTGCACTGCTGTTGCAGCGGTACACCGTTTTGTGGTGGAGCGCCCGCGTTACGATCGCGCGATCGCGAAGTATAAACGCGCTCTTAGACGGGAAAACTCATCTATCAAAATGAGATTTCTCAGGGCGAATACGAATCCCCCTTGGGTTTCCCCGGGGTACGACGTGCTCTGAGCACCAATGTAATTAGGTGCAACGTTTCGTGCAATAGTTCTTGCCTAAAGTTATAGCAATTCTGCGCGAGGGTTCTCTTAGAGCTTTGAACTTCATTTCCACCCAATGTCCCCATTTTTGCCTATTTCAGTACTGAAAGGTAGGAGGGAGATTGCCGGATCAGCTGGGGGGGGGACGCCTTACCGTGTGCCTTTTCAACAGGCGGGAATTCTTCCCCCTACCTTAGACTAAAATAAAAGATGCGGTGCTATGGGAGAGATAGGGGACAATATGCCTTTACTAACAGCATCAGCACAAACTTTGGTCCTAGGGTACACGTATTGAGATGTATCATCTGGACGGCATTTTACCCGCGCCCCCCCTAAACCACCAGACGTCTAGGTGTCCCTTCCAGACTTGCAAGCATATGCCAGCAGGCAGCTCAGTCTTCCCAAGCCCTTCCAGGACCGGACCACGGTTACGTTTGACGAACAGTAGCAGGAGAAAGCAGAGGCTCCTATTTGAGCTGGGGCAGCGTTAGCAGCTCCAGCAGTTCGAGCAATCAAGTGCAGTCGGGAATTGCGGACACTCTCTGCACGATACCTACCTGCTCATCTTTGTCGGATCCACTTGAGGAGCAGATGGAGTGGCCCCGTCACGAGGAGTAGCATCAACTACTGAAGACTGTGACGAGCACACAGATAGGGCAGCATGTGATCCAGCAGCGCTAAAACGTTCTCAGTTCATTGAGCGTTACATCAGCACAAGACCAGAGCATGAACTGGAGAATCACCTAGCTGCGGAGTCACTTTCTTCAGTTTCAGCGGCAACCGGTGTTTGATGACCTGGTTCAGGAGTTTCAGCACCACTTTCCATGGTTTCTGCTATTCGGCCAAACTTGTGAGGATTAGCCCTACAATGTGGAAATTCATGATTTCAAAGATTAAAGGATCGTCATCGGCTTCTCTCAGAGTTAACAAACCTGGCAAGGAGATTTTCCAGTGATTGAGTCTGGTGCTGCAAGGACTCGGCAGAGGCAGCTTGGCCTGTTGACGCAACGCTAGGTCCTGCTTTTGCACGATCTTCCACACAAGGTTTTGTGTTGACATGGACTTCTTTTGCCTTCAATGGACATTGGAAATAAACTCTTGCTAACACTCATAATGGTTCGTTCATACTTTTGGCGTGGAGCGCCTACCAGCGACCGGCGTTTCCAGCGTACCGCCCAGGCGCGCAGTGACTAGGCGAACTATAGGTTGTCAATCTAGCGAACGCCAGCGTCCACTAGCTTTCAGGGGGAGAGGGGAAGCAGGAGGGTAGCAGACAGTTGGATTAAGAGCCGTGAAATTACGGCGTGGACAACCGCACTGTACAACTGCTAAAGCACAGATTCATGCACTATTGAAATACGGTGCAGTACATTGTACAGTGCGGTTGCACACGCTGCAATTTTCAGCGAACGACTAGTCCCACCTATCTCTACGCCTCCTACTTCCGCGCCAGACTCTCCACTGGCAGCTGGTGGAGGCTGGCGTTAGCCGGATCGATACCTATACTTCCTCGTTCCTGTCCTCCAGATGCTGTGGACGTGGTAGTGCACCAGCATCTGGAGGGCAGGAAGCTGGTCGGTGGAAGCTGATGCAAAGTATGAACGCAGCCTTACTACAATGTTACCTATATTGGAGGAGCTGGTAGCCGCTGCACTTGTCGAAGACGTTGACGGCACCTTGGCGAACCTTGACAAAGGTGTAGACACTGCAAAAGGTAGTTTTGCAACGCTCATGTAACAATACTTGGGCCCTGCGAACCTTGAACTACCACCAGATCTGCGTTGTTTTGTTGCAAATGGAGTGAATCCCGTGAAAGACGCGAATGGTGATGAACCACCATCTCGAACACCCGTTTCCCTCGATCTTCCCATAAGACCACGTCCTTTTAGCGCGAACAGCTTCTAGGAACGAGGTGAATTGCCAGGAGTTGAGGTTTGGTGAGGGACGTTTGCGGCGGCTTTACATCGTTGAATGGTCTAAAACCGTCCATCAGCTCCAAAACGATATGGGAGTTCGTATAGCCGTTGTCCCACATCACATCAACCCATCCTGAAACAATTTCATCGAAGTACGTTGGAATTTCACGGCCACATCAATAGACTCACCATTCTCCACACACCCACGATTCCCGCACCACTTCCTTCGGATCGATCTCCAAGACCGAAGGTCTGCCACAGAATTACGCGCATACACAGCAATCGGTTTCCAACGGCTGCATGGGGAGACCAGCGGCGCCCGAGGACACGCCAGTAGCTGTAATTCCGTTTGTCACTTATGAAGCGCTTTCTTTCCTTTTCAGAAAAGGATCTAACGTCAAGCAGTACGTTTCATAGTTCGCGGAATAGAGGAGAGGGAGCTATGCGAGCATGGAGACAATTGCGCGCAGAGACGAAGGCATTAATAACGATTCAGCAGCGTCCGGCGATTTTGAAAAGGTAACAAGGGATTTTTAAACATTATACACTGGCTTTGCCTCGCGAATTCGCGAATAAGAGCCTGTTCACAGTTTGCGATCCAACCTCACGAGCGATCATCATATTAATGCGCTCGAATTCGCAGGTTCGGAAAATCCGCGACAAGAAATTAGATGAGAATTGAATAGCCCCGCCCATAACAATCCACGTGAGTAATCCCTCGGATTCGGCAGGTCAAATCGATTTCGCATCCATATCATTGTCCACGGACGTCGTAGGTATGGGGGACCAGGTCTCCCAGGAGGGGTCCTATTTTGGCTGCAGGAGGGAAGGATGGGAAGAGGCAGTGCACTGTTTCGAGAAAGATTTGCTACGTTTTGTCAAGTGAGCTGTTATCCTCAGCTCCCCTCGCCCCGCTCCGACGAATTAGGCAAGAATGAAAAATGAAAGAAGTGATGGAAAGAAGGGAATCAAGAAGGTGGTAAAAATAGGATGGCCGGGTCATACCAGAGAGGTAGATCCTGAGGGAGGGGGTCGTATTTTGAGAAAAATTTCCCAATTACAGTACGTGCCCTGACTGTGTCACGCATTCTCCACAGACGTGGACTCGATAGACTCGATACGCATACTCTCCATGGTACGAGTTCTCCTAAATCGCGGATCCTGCACTTTCGCAAAGTATAAACGAGACCTGACGAAGGATACAGATTGAAGGCTTGAACGTAAGAAGGCGATTAACAGAGTTAACCAGGCTGACGAGTAAACCTTGGCGCACTCACCGAGATCTTGTGTGCATCATAGAGACCATATCTGCAGTTAATCCAGCTCTGAGCTTGTTGTTATTCGCACCTTGGGGCATCAGCGATTCAACTTTCTGAAGAAGTTGATGATCAGTAAGCATTGGAGCCTTTGAGAATTAGGCGCTGTTCGCTTGGTGGGGGCATTTTGTTGGTTTCCATCGACTACTACTGCTGACTCCTGTCTAGACCTGTTAACTACTGTAAGGCAGTAGCATGGGCTTCGTATAAACTTTACAAGAGCCACAGCCCCCCCCCCCCCAAGGCAGGACATGTCATTTAAACTATCCAATGAAACTCGCAAAAGTGCAAAATGCCCCCTCTAAGCCAAACAGCGCCAAAAACTATCCCTTACCTCATCACGGTTTGAATCCTTGCGCGACGACGACGGCAATGGAATCTTGGATTTTCCCTGAAAATAAGCAAGACAATAAAGCTTCTGCAACACGGGTTTTTGATAACGTCCACTTACAATTGAGCAACCACTTCTGTCCTTCTCTTCTTTTGGTACTGTAAAGCCATCGATGACAACGTCGACAATTTCACCATACACTTCAAAGCCCGAGACGCTCAGGTAGCACGTCTGTCCAGAAGAATTTTTCCCGTTTTGTGCAATACGCAGGTAGCGGAAGGGACCTAAACATTACAGCAGGGTTGAGTATGATTCAAGAACGTTCACGGCGCAGTTCGCCGACAGGATGGCGGGTAGGGGCATTTTTCCTTTCTCTGCTTCCCATTGCCGTGTTAATTGTGTTACAAGGATGGCAGGCATTTTTTACAAGAGTTGACAAGTTGACGACCACTTCGTGGCTTCACAAGATCTGACAAGTCTACTTGGCCCGACACGACAAGGGGAAGCAGCGGAACTGCAGAATGCCCCTCCCTCACGTTGTCGAAATGCGCCCAGCTTTCATTAGACCACTTTTCCCACCTTTAGTCCTATCGTCCTCGATGGGCCAAGTGGCGGTGGATCCAGGGTCACCGAGGCTTATATCATCGGAGTGAGCAACGAGTACCTCCCACACTTGCTTGTCTTTTGAACCCTTCAAATCGAACATCTTATTTTATGGACATCCACGTCACACAACAATAAAAATACCTGCAAGAGCCAGTTCCGAAGAGCCGATCGCCCATAACCTCTTGCATGGCGCAGCGTGTATGCGGTGGGATAGAGGAAAACACCAAGGTCAATCGTAAAGTTCGCATTCCTGAACAAGAAACGACGACTGTCTGAGAAAGAACTGGTGAAACAACGGGACGATTCTAGATGCATGCAGTGGTTTAAAGATGCAAAAACTTCAAGGAAGGCGGGTTTATGACCCCAAGGAGGTCGGGTTTATACAATTCAACCCGAATGGACCATAGCAAAGGATGGAGTAAGTCTTAAGACTACAAAGAGTAAAACTAAAGAAAAGAGGGAGTTGAAGGGCGGGAAAAGAGAGAAGAGCCTTCAAAATCCTCCCAAAGAGGTATCATGGCGCTATTCCTATGAGCTCACAAGTTCTGGTTCTACGTCATATTTACAAATTTTTCATGTTGGGCCGCGTTCATGCTTTATGACTGAGAAGATTTGGCGATTGAGAGACTGCGCGACGAGGGAAGTATGAGTATCGATCTGACGAGACTGCGGAGATTGAGCGAGTCGGCACCTTGGGAGAGTTCGCGTTTCCGGCGATTTCGCGAAAACCAGTGGATGGGTATCGATCGGCTCCGGTCGCTAGTGACTGCGCAAAGTTGGTGATCCGGCGTTTTGGGAAATCGCCGGGTTACTCAAGTCACCAGATCGCTCAGTTTCGAAAATCGCCGAATCGCTCTTTCTCCCGAATCGCCGAATCTCCGCAATCGCCAGCGACTGATGCCGATCGATACCCACTTTTGGCGTGCAATCGCCGGAAACGCTGGATCTCCCGAATCGTCAGATCGCCAATCTCCTCGGTCGCGAAGTATGAGCACGGCCTTGCACGCCAAGGGATAAGAATGGTAGAAAGAGCTTCGAGCAGGGATCCGTATCAACGCGCGGAGCCCAACGACGGATAAACCCATCTCTTTTTAGAAAAATTCTCGTGAAAAGGGGCTCCCTTTGGGTAGGGAAGTACCACCCAGGAGAACCTCCACCCACTAACCTTGGGCAAGACATCCCTGTTGACCCTATTTTTCCTTCGCAGTCCTTCTCGTAGTTTTGAATGCCCCGAGGGCTCTGCATCAAAAAATGCCTAAAACAACGCCAGAATCTATCACAATGGATAAACCTACTATAGAGCGCTGAAAACCTACTTGTCATCACTAGAGTGACAATTGATCGGATTCACGTCACGACTTAGGACATCTTCTGGTTTTCCAAATGGTTGTCGTTGATCCGATGATGTCACCTACAAAATGAAAAATGATGAAGGCAGTTCACACGAAGAGTTTCCAACAAAATCAAACAAGTTGCTAGGGCAGTTCGACGACGGCGAGGGGGGGGGGGGAAGCGTATTGTGCTTGTGCACTGTTGCTACTCTATTTCATGAGCTTACAAGATCTGACAGGTTATACCGCGGTGGTTAGATGAACTTGCTCCAGCTTCTCAGGAGTTCACAGGCTTCACCAGGTTGTGAGACTTGTAAACCAGACTAGTGAAGCGGCGAATGTTCAAAAATCTCCCCTCCCCCCCCCCCCCTCCATGTCGCTTGACTGCACGCCAAACCACTAATTACTAGAAATAGAAACATAACCAAAAACGCGTTGCAGAATATGTGGCTTATTTCATCATAATTTTAGAGGCAAACGGTAAAGGAAAACCAGAAAATAGTGCAAGCAATTTTCACGCTGAACAATCCTCATGTGAATGCTGGATTGGTCGCAGTCAGCTGCTGTTCCTGCATGTTGTTCCCAACCAAATAAATTCACACCTGAGATGGATTTTGCACGTCAGAGTAAAATCCATTTTTGACAGAAAAAAAACAAGACCCAGTCAACCTTGCCAAATCGAAATCGCTGGGATAACGTTAATCTTTATCGCTCTCCGGACTCTTTGATTCTTCAATGGCTTTTCGAAACCAAGACTAGCAGTGAGAAAAGAATCACGATTCAAACCTGAAATTGAAGGGGTTTGAATGAGGAAACGAAATGGTCGACACTAAGAACACCAGAACCAAAAGAAGTACCATTGCTTCGCTACCATCTTCAGAAGGAACGACTTGAGCTGACCAATTGTTGTCAAGTGGCTCACTTTTGAGTAGGCGGCCGCTTCTAAATGAGCAAACTCTCTCACTGAATGATCAGAACAATCTGGCACTATTTACTCTTTCCTGTCACTTTTCACAAGGTGTAATGAGGCGAGAAACCTTAAGTTTCCTAATTTAATCCCCTAAGGGCAATTTGATGGAAATTAGTCGCCGGAAAGGTAACGACTAAACCCTTGATCACGGATACGACATCCGTTTGACCCAATACCTTCCAATGCCAACGCCACAAGCCTGTTTCTGTGCCGGCGCCCAGTAGGCTGGGACGGACAGCCTTCAAAATTCCCACATTGGCTGACAGGGCATTCATATACAAAAAGACAAATTACTACTGTGAAAAGGAGTAAAAGCGGACCTAGTCGCGTACTGGATCGCGCACTTGCCCAGAAAGCGCGAGGTGCAGGATCATGTACCGTCTGGGGTCAAGACTTTTGCCCATTCCATAACTCAGCATTCTCGTGATAACCTCCAGAACGAAACTTTTGGCCTTGAAGGCCGATTTCAGGAGGCGGGCGATTGTTGCTAACGTCTTCAGTCGAAGAAGCTGGAGAGGGTGCTCACTCACATCCCATTTAAGCATTTCCACGAATGACGCTGACGACAACCGCCCGCCCCCAGTCATCGTGCCCACTACCTTTCAACAGCAGTAATCGTAACGAAATACCTTAGAAGTAAAAAGTGTTTCTGACCGACGTAAGTGGCAGGGAGAGGCGATTTGTGTAAACAAATATGACATTCGTTCAGGGAGGGGGGGGGGCTCCAAGCATCTCAGGGTTTATGTTCTACCCACATTTACCAACGGGATACTTCGACGATAAACGAACACAACTTTTGAAAAAGAACCATTGAAGGGTAATACTGCCGAGAATTCTAGTGAAAAAAACCCGGTTAAATTAAAATATGGAGTCCTACCTGTTGATCAACTGCTTCTTGTCATCGTGGTCACTAACCGCCTGTTCAAGTTTCATACGAATTCGCCGTGACAACAATTGGAGGCCAAACGCTGATCCACCTGGGGTATCGTACAGGTATTGTGGGAATTTCTCCGTTGATTCCAATACAGAGACCATTTTCATGGCTAGGCTCGATAGGGCCACTCCATGCGCGAACGTCTGAAAATTGACAATATTCGCTGCTACTGATCAAACAAAACTGTCACAAATGACGTACCTCTCCGAATATACGGGCAGGATAACTTCCAGGTTGACGTTCCACCAGGGCCAGCAAATTGTGCAATGCAGGTACAATACCAGAAACAGAGAATTCAAAGGTTGAAAGTCGTCTATCGTCCAGCACTGACTCTCGCACGCATTTCAAAGGCCGACACCAGCTAAAGGTATGAGACTATAGAAAAGACCTAAAGACAACGTTCGGGGTTGCCATGTGGGCGGAACCAGGAACGAGATCATTGACGCGCTCCTCCTCATCCTGCCTTCTATAAAGTTGAAGAAACCTGGCTGACGATCATACCCCGGGCCAACTAATTTACCGCCGTGGAAGACAA